CCTTTACTTTTTTGCACGTCTGACGCATAAGCCCATACTTTTTGCACGTCTGACGCAAGAAACCCTCTACTTTTTGTCACTTTGACGCATAAACCCTTTACTTTTTTGCACGTCTGACGCATAAGCCCTTACTTTTTGCACGGCTGACAGCCAGGACTTCTGCGAGGTTTCAAGATCTTTATTTTAAAAGACCAACTCGCCAATCAAACAACTACTACGGTAGCTGGCTAGCTAGTCGAGCGGAGCAGCAATCATGGTGGTTGCGTTGCATTCCCACATCACCCACCAGGCATGCTCAACATTTCTGGGTTGCACAGGCAGCCGCGAGCTCACTCCGGCAGTTCAGGAAAGGCCGCAGAACAGAGTTTCATGAGGATACAGAGGGATGCCAGGTCCAGCCCTGTGGCAACGTTCTAGCTGGTGTCTGCCACATTGGTATGTCATGGTCTCAGGCTGACGCTTAAGCCAACAAGAATGGTTCAATCAACCACGCAACACAATCTGTAGTAGGGCACAACAACAACTAGAGCAGAAACAACACACCATGTAGAATCCAATCTCCTAAATCCCTTTGTGGCTGGCTACAAGAACAGCAGCCAGCCAACGAAATGATCGAGATCCAGCCCTAAAACGGTACGGGCATCCTTTTCAGCAATCCAGTCAAGAACATGGGAACTCCCGCTCCCGAGCAGCAGGCTCCATAGTTTTCATCCCAAGGACAACCAATATCGCGAGCCCATATCAAACAAACTGCCAATTGGCCACCCCTAGGTGCATCCCATGGGCAGCCATTCCAATGGCCTCAGGCTGCAGCAGCTCCACACGTGTTACCATTCCAGGGGGGCTCATGCTCATGCACACATTTGAGGCATTCCACATGACCACCTTTGGCAGCTGCCTCACATGCCAAATTGTTTTCCATTGGAAAGCACTTTTACTGGGCCAAGTAATGATAGGCAAGTGACCAGCATCAGAAGCACACAGTATGCATGTGTAGCAATGCCAGGGACAGCCATCAACATGAGCCCACTTGATAACGTCCAGGCACCCAACTTTGGCAGCCCCATAAATGTACTTTCATTCCAGGCGTAACCCTTTTCATGAGCCCACTCAATATTTCATGTGTCCACCTTTGGCAGCTTCAGAGCATGCATCCATCCATGGGCAACTTTTGTCACCATCCCACTCCAAAGGTCCAAATGACTGCCATGTGCAGCAGCAGCACATGTCTTCACATCCCAGGGTCAAGCATTTGATGATGATGGGCCCATGTCATTTGCCAGCTTCATAGCATGTCGCTTTTTCCATGGACAGATGAGCCGGCTCAAAGGGGTTCAAATAAGTGATCCCCGCGAGCAGCAGAAGCAGCAGACAGCAGACAGAAGCAGCAAGTACCGGTACAACGAAAGACGCAACCCTTTCATGAGCCCATTCAACAATGTCCATCTCGGCTCATCACGTTGCTCGTACCGCTAGGTCGTCGAGCAGCTGTGTTGCCTAAGAGCATCTGGATGGTGATTTGGAAAGGTGAATTGAATCACAGCTACTGTGGAAGTAGTAAGGCTCGCTCCGGCTTTACTAAAGGCGATCTCCTTATCCCCGTCAAGTTCCAAGAATCCGCTTGCTTCTAGCGACGTCGATAGCAGCTGTTGCCTACCTTCTACCTTTTGAAACTCAAGGGAAACCTGGCAGCGCCATGAATAGCGCATCAATGGTCGTACTTTGGACCACCACCAGCTAGCTACCTCTCGTAGTTACTCAGTGTTCATGTAGTAGCCTCCAGTAGCTCCAAAAAATCAAAGATCAATCAATCACAGTTAGTTGGTGCTTACCAGTGGCCTGTGCGTCTCAGACTCTCAGACCTCAAAACCGAGATCGACTCGACTCGAGTCCTGTACCGTCACACATTCCGAAGTCTGTAAAAGTCATTGTTGCAGTTGAACTGGCAACCACGGACTTTGCAGCAATACGGTATGATTTACAGTATTTCTTTACTCAACACGGATTCTCTGCTTCAGTTGATGTAAAGCTTCCCTAAGTATCTTTGCAAAAGGAATCCGATCTTTTAGGGGCAGCAGCCAGCAGCTTATTGCACCGCTAAGTAGAGCCGGAAAAAACTGTGGAAAGGTTGGAAAGTGAGTTGTTTTATTTAGAGGGAGGAAGATGGAACTGCAGGAGAGTTTTAGTTACTGTTGTGCAGGTTGTTCGACTGGCAGCGGGTGTTTCTTTGTTGGACCTCCGAACTCCGAACTCCATGCTCACTTTTCCATTGTTGTGCTACATTTTACGCTGTTGCCTACCACCAGATTTGAAAACATCTGGCACCATGATGACTGAACTTATCTGTGTTGGCAGCAACGATGGGCAAGGGCTGAACGAAAGCGTGGGTATCTTGAAGACAGCTCCCACGCGTAAAGATGGACTGGAAGCTACACCCGATCAACATGTGTCAAAGGTGGATGCATCAAGGAGTGGTCGTGACCGCTCCTACCGTGGTCTCGTCCTATGATGATGACTACGAGGACGGATGTGATACCAGTGAAACCGACAGTTGTTGCTTCCATGTCTCTTCCGACTCTAGTTGCTCAGTGGGCTTTCATTGCGTCTCGTTCGACTTGGTTCCTCAAATTCACGAGGTTCCCAACCGATTCTCATATACCGGAGACGAAATGGAGGCAACCTGGTACGGCCGAAGGGAGAAAGATGTCATGCGGGAAGCTGCCTTTGGGATTGCAGAATCACTGGACTACTACTACTTTCTAAATGAATTTGGACAACCGGTATCCACCAAGTTTCGGGGACTCGAGTCGTACACTGTGGAAGGATCCAAGCAACGCAAATTGAACCGAGTAAAGAACTTGGTGTCTGTGTTACGAGAACAACGACGACAAAGGTCTTGTGGAGAGGTTGTTACCAACGGACCCGTGCTGCTGGAAGCTGCTTGCCGCTCTGTGTCTTCCCAATGCGAAAAACAAGCCTACGTGCAAGGGATTATGGACGAAAAGGATGCACTGGGAACGGATAGAAAGCCCGAAGCGAACGACGAGAGTCCCAGTGTGCTGTTGCATTTCACCAAGCTCTTGAGGGATTTGGGGCAATCGAGTGAGCACAGCTAACTATTGGAGCTTGCTGGGTGGGGGTCTTCGTTCCTTGATGCTTCCATACACATAAAGCATAGCTGCTACTTAGCTTGTTCTTGTTGTCGAACAATTAGTGTAATAGTCGCCTCATTGGGTTACATTTTTATGTAAACACCTCTGGACAGGAGTAGGTCGTAGCTGATGACTCCAGCTGTACCGGTGCCGTAGACTGTCTGTTGGCACAGCTCCGAAGCAGTGAAGGCTGGGGCATTCGGAAGGGAACGTTCTTGCAGAACCAATGCAATGGCATGAAGGGAGCTTTTCTGCTATCATCATGACAGCATCTTCCACTAGAGGGCCCCATTTGTAGTAGTTGCAAGCTGAACTTGATAACATCCGTGGCCGAGCTACCGTCACCAGTGCAGTGGGCATGATCATGGTCAAATAGAGCTGTCCCCGTTAAACGTGAGCTTCATCTTGAAGGGTGATAGGAAGAGATACCGTGGGTAGAAACGTTCATACCAACGTCCTTCCAATCATCCCTCAAGATGAAGCTCACGTTCAACGGGGATAACATTGCAACTCAACGATTTATAGATTCTTATCAGGTTGCTAGCTGGACTACTGAGGAGGAGGGAGATTCTCTTCTTGGTCAGAAGCGCTCTCGTCGAGCCTATCGAGCTCGGCTAGCAAATGCGCATGGCGATCGCGGAGTTGCTTTTGCTCTTCTTCGGCTTGATTCATTTCTTCGGCATGTGCGCTCTCGAGGGCGGCTAACTCCATATCCACCGCGGCTATCTCCCTATCGCGCTCAGCTTCCAGATGCGCTTCGTGATCCAGCATTTGCTGTAGTTTTTCTTTGGCTTCAGCTTCGTAGGCAGCGATGCAGCTGTAGTGGGCCAAAATCTCCGCTTGGCCTGCACGGGTTTTCCCTTCCTTTCTTTCCGCCAATCGTTCCTCGTCAGTGCCGAACCGAGCATTCGCGTTTTTGATCAGTTCTCGTTTGTTGGCCTGCTGCTGCTCAATGCGTTGGATATCTTCATGCAACTGTCTCTTTTTTGTCCGACAATGTTTCAGCTGGTTGCACTTGTCCATTACGTCCGCAGGGGTTAAGGGAGGGCGACTACTGGCACGTCCACTAGCTTGTAGCGGTGGGAGGGGTCTTAGAGTTACCAGCACCGTCTGCACCAGAGGGACTCCCTTCACCACCACCCTCCAAGCGATCGCCCTTCCCAGTGGGTACAGTCGTACCGGCATCATGATCGTACATAGATCATGGTCGTCACAACATAGAGCCAGCAAAAGATATCAAGGATATCCCCGTTGAAAGTGAGCTGCATCTCGATTTGAAGAAATGCCGTGGGCATGAACGAAACGATTCTGTTGGAATTTGAACTCTTGGTCGATCAGACAACGAAGAGTTGGTTTTTGTCAGCTCAGACTGAAGCTTTCAAAAACTGCACCGCCTTTCGTTTGCTACTAGAGTAGCATCTCTCTCCTTTGTGG